GATGACGATGACGATGACGATGACGATGACGATAACGATAACGATAACGATAATGATAATGATAATTATAATAATGAATAAATACATTTCGAGTGTTAGCCCTTCTTCAGAAGATATTAGGACTCTCGTTTAAGTGCCTCCCTGCAGATATGTACGATTCCTGTCTAATTTAAGTTTTGTTAAAAGATGCCATATATTTCAATGTTTAAAAATTTTAACGATTTGTTTCTTGTAGCTGCCCCAAGCAGCCCACGAGACGTCAGTGGAGAGGCAACTTGTGATAGCGTAATTTTAAGTTGGAGCCATCCGAAGAACGACGGGGGATTCCCCGTGATAAACTACGTCATCAGCTATGAAAACAACACACTGGTCATCCCCTCGAACACGACTGATTACATCATTGACAACTTAGAGCACAGCACGGAATACTCGATCGTTATACAGGCGCGAACCGAAGCTGCGATCGGCGACGAGGCGCTTGTGGAACTTAAAACCACTCAGTTTTGTGAGTAAATAAATGTTTTAACAGTTAGCTGGATTAAGTAATTAAGATTTCTACCTTGCAATAATACTATCACGAATAAAATTCGAGAGCTAATGATCAAATGTTTAAGTCTAAATCTAATAGTTGGTCAAAACGTTTTGTAAACCCTCCTCACAAACACGTTGGAAACGCAAGGAAGCGGTCGCCATTTTATTGACAACTGCACACTGCTAGGCTACTCACTAGCTTTAGCAGTTAGTTATAAATTAAGTGTCGTGGCGTATTTTGGCAAGTCCGTAGAGGGATAGGAAACTTTTTCTATGACACTACATGACACCCTGCTCAGGATACATACGCTGTCGGTCATCGGACATTTTGTGAATTTGTCCAATGCAGCTGTTGACCCCATCACTAATGTTATGACTGGACATCAAAATAGCTGTCCGGTTTTCGGTCCATGTTTTCGTTTGCTTTAAAAAAGTGTTAGGAAGGTTTCTAACCATCATATTTTGGAAACCTGAGCTCACGCAGATACGCCGTTTGCACAACTTTGTTCCATTGAAGATTCATTTAAGATTTTCAAATAACGGCCATATATTTTGCCCGTGACCAGAACAGAAAATCCCTAAAACTTAAACTGTGTGTCGATTTAGAAATTCAAATTAGTACCTATAGATAAAGAACGTCCACGTACTTAATGTGGCGTATCACTTTAATGAAATTTTTATTATTATAAAAGTAATAGCTAGTTATGATGTGAAAAACACCCCTATTTACAGGAAAATATATTTATCACCAGGTGTACAAAAACCCCCAAATTGACGTTTCTAGGATTAGCCGTTTACAGATCTCACCATGACGCTCTGTGAAAGATCCACAAGCAGAAGAGTACCACAGTAATGCAAATACCCCCACCCCTCTCTCTTCTGCACCCGGAAGGGTATATCGATTTATCACAGAGTTATTTAAAAACTAACATATAAGTCGTTTTAACAGTTGCTCTTGGACGAGAGCTTAAACTCTTTTTGTTAAATCCTAACAGGTAAAGTGTCATCTTGCGTGAACATTGAACACGATGAAGAAATGTACACATTGAATGCGAGCCAGGGTCGCTGGCCGCGCGATGGATTTTGCCGCGCTCTGAGTGCCTACACTGCAACCGAGCCTGACATGTACAGGATAACCGCTGACTTCTATGTTCCTGGGTTCAAGAGCTCAATGTTGGTAAACTACGTCGGGGTATTTTTCAACGCTGAAAATGAGGACAATTTCGATTTGATATTCTTCAGGTAAAAGTAGTTTTGAAAACGCTTATAAAGTTAAATTAACGGGGAATTCTTATATAGGGAACGTGCGTCTTTAAGAAGACTGACAGGACAAATAAAAGCGTCGGGTGACAGATTTTCAAACGTCTCCGTCTTCGTCTGAGCCAAAAAAGTGGCAAAATGCTTAAAAAGGAATCCACCACAAGTTCAAGTACACAAGCGGAAAAAGAAACTTTTTGCCGAGATAATTGACAGTGTATTGGAAACTTCTGTGTGACTGTCCTAAACATCTCCTCAAAAGAAATCATTTCTAACAACACCAAATGTTGAAAACAAAATTTGAAGTTCATAAGAAACAATTGAAAGTACTGATGAAATTTTACCTGTGTTTGCGCAATTCCTCTAAACTTTGAAATTTATTTCCTCGAGTTCCATGGGAATTGTTTTTGGTGTTATCTCAGGCAACTGTTGATATCTTTAGCTTTTAGAAAATGCAAAAAGGACTGTATTATACTTGAAGTTATTTTGGTACAAGGTTTTTGTCCATTAAAAACTGAAGACAGTTGCCCGATTTCCAATCGGATTTCGTCTTAAGTTTTCACGTGCCTCCAAATTATTGTGAGTGCATTTAACAAAGGTCTCTTTTTCAGGCGTTTACACAATACTGGACGAACGTCTTTCGACAGTAATTTTTAAGTCTCCGTTTTAACATAAAATAGATAGCATTTACAACCGCCTTTTGATAGAAGAGAGCACATCAAAAGAGTCTCAAAATCAAAATGTTATTACTGAGGAAGGCCTAACTTTCTGAATAACGAATAATGAATTAAACAGTGCTGAATATTTAAAACGGAAAGTCAGCCGGCGTATTTTCTTGGAAACTCTGTTTTGATAGTTTGATCTTTAACTTACCCAGGGTTGGCGCAAGCGGCAACCCGTGTTTCCAAACTGGGGAAATCCAGCAAGGCCGGTTAAACTGGTACGAGTCCCAGATGGGCTCCTGTCCACACGGCCCACCTCGCAGGGCACGATGGATCCATGCTACGCTTGAGGTCCGAAAATATGACGTCTCCGTTTTTCTCGGGGGAGTTCACGTGACCTCCTTTAAAGGGCACTTCCCTCCCAAGGCAGCTGGCGGCGTGTTACTGGCTAATCACCATGGCAACGTTGTTCAATTTAAGGACTTTGTCATCGCTGACTTGCCGTCGCTGCCATTTGAAACTAAGAGTTGCGCCACAGTGCAGGATAACATGAAGTACTATTCTGTTATAAGTCAAGGTGACTTCTGGGCGCACGGATTCTGCCGCGCTCTTCTTAAAGATGTTCAAATGGAGGAGAGTTCTAGTTACCAGGTTTCCGTGGATTTGTTCAGCGAGTTGGGCTGGAGCGGAGACCGCATTGCGTACGTTGGAATCATGTTCAATGCACGTGATATCAACAATGCTGATTTTATTTACTTCAGGTAATGTACATTCAAAGTCAATGTTTCTTACTGACATTAATGTAAGTAAGAAACAACGTACAGTGTCCTGCCCTTCATTCATTTACTTTTCATTCGGCTCAGAGCCCATGACGTGATCTACAAATAGCTTCACGCAAATAATTTTAGTGCTCAGCTCGGTTTACATATAGAGTTGTTGAGATCTATAGAAACAATTAAACGAATAGGAGTTCTGAAATTTCCTCCCCCCATTTCGCAACGCTCGTCTGTTGCATGGTTACACCAGCATTTTGTCTCCTTAATATAACTGCCCTATGGACCGGTACCCATTTCTACTCCTAGGTGGAGAGAAGCACTGTGAGAGTTAAGTGTTTTATCCAAGAACACAGCAGAATGACCCCGTCCAG